TGGTGAGCACATTCAGGGCAACATCTGTTATCTGAAATACTTCAATTGGTATACCATCTATTCCTGGGGCCTTATTTTTTGCTATTTCCTTCAAAACAGCTTGAACTTCTTCCTTCATCACCATAGGCTCTTGCTCATATGTTATTTCTTTAAATTCCTCTGTATCTGCCAATTCCTTTCTAGTATACTTAGAAAATCTTGAAGATTCAGTGGCAACACTATTGGAAATAGTCAACCAATTCATCTAAGTAGCAGGGTACAAGATCAACATACAAAAATCAGATTTCTCTCGGTGACAAAGAGTATAGAAATGGAGCCAAGAAAAAGAATACCAATACCAACTGCTAATCACAAAATGGAATGACCATAAGAATAACAGATTAGAACCTTGCCCTATGCTGTGCTATTTTTATTATTTCAATCATGCTCAAGTTCCTTGTTATAGTCACTTAGACAAGGTATCCATTTCATTGAAGGTTTTCCTCTTTTTAAAACCATTGTTATTTCTCCCATCCTGATAACCCACAAGTATATAAGACAAAGTTTTACCATGCTTGCCTCTAAAGAAAACCCTGTTTACACTTCTTCCAACACAGATTTATTTGTTCTTTTGGAAGTCTATGAAGTGTGAAGATGGTAAAGGATTGGATGGCGTTTAGATCTGTTGTTTATAGGGTGGTTATGAGTCGTACTTGACTTGACACTTTATGACAATAACATAAACAAATATGAAAACTCAGAGAAACTGGACAAATACATAACAACCCACCCAAACTGACAAAGATTTAAGTACTACAACTGAATAAATCATTCACAAAAGAAGAAACTGAGCAGGTCATAAAACAGCTTCCAACATTTCTCCAAAAGCTGACATAGAGATCTCATCTGACTATTCCACTGCTCGGAATATACCCCAAGAAAATGAGAACTGAGGCACAAAGACTTGCATACCAATGTTCATAGCAGCATTATTCACGATAGCAAGAACATGGAAATAACCCAAGTGTCCATCCACAATGGAATGCATTGAGAAATCATGGTACATTCACATGATGGAATACTACACAGAATGCAGGAGCAATAATTTTGTAAATTTCACCTTTGGGAGGGACTGGAGAGCAATATGCTAAGTGAACTAACTCAGTCCTGTAAAGACAAATATTGTAAAAAATCATTATTATAGTATGTGTATGAGGATCTAAGGGGGAGAGTGGGAACGGAGGGGTAAGGATGGGCAGGGCGTGGGCTAGTGGTTAATCATAGGCTCGCATAATTTGATGTGTGGAGGAAGGTGTGGGTAAAGGGAATGGGAAAGAACTGGTGTGAAAAATAATGTATATGAACTGTGTAAGTAAACCAGTATCAAATAAAAATTTTATTTAAATAAAAAAGAAAACTTCCAACAAAAAAAGCACTGTACTTTACTATCAAATTTTACTATTCAGAAAACAGCTGTCACTAATTCTACATAAAGTATTTCAGAAAATAGGAAAAGGTGGAATATTCCCAGCATCATTCTATCAAGCAAACATATCCCCAATACCAAAGCCAGATAAAAACTTTTAGTCTTTAATAAAATGGAAAACTATATCTTAATATCTCTCATGAACATAGATGCAAAAATCCTTAATGAAATCCTGGCTAATATGATAAAAAGAAGAATTCATCATGATCAAGTGGGATTCACAACAGATATGTATGGATGGTTCAACATAAGGAAAACAATTAATGTGATTCATCACATTAACAAAAGAAAAGACAAGAAAAAGAAAAAAAAAAAAAACAACCCCAAACTGGTAGACAAAGTCAACTGATTCAAAGTAGCAGGACACAAGATAAACACACAAAAATCAGTTGGATTTTGTAACACAGAATTAGATTTCTCCTTACTGCTGAATAATATTCCCCTGGAAGTGTATATACCAGTGTCTTAGGGTATTAACACCTGATTACTTAATAAAGGCCAGTGGTTCAAATCTACCCCAATGTTGCCTTTGAAGAACTAATTGTCAGTATGCTTCTGAGCATTACAATCCTGAAAACTTTATAGGACATAGTTTAATTCTACAACTCATGTTGTTATTGTTATATACTCTTTAAGTCAGAATCTACTCATCATAGCTGAATCTCTAGTGATTTTCCAAAGGCAATGAATCACATGGGAGGAGATTGATCATCTTTCTCAGTATACCTTTGGATTGGCAGTGCAACTCCTTACCCCTAAGGCACCAGAATGCCCTCTACAACACAGAATCAGAATAAACTCCACACTAACTGATTTGACTTTAGTCTGGTGTGTATATACTACACTTTAATTATCCAGTTAGGTAATGAACACTGGTTTCCACCTTTTGATGTTTATTTTTATATTATTCTTGTCTTTTGTGGTTAATATATATGTTGAGTTATTATTGTTGTGAGTTCTTTATATGTTGAGTTATTTGTTGTTATGAATTCTTTGATGTTCTATATTCAAAGTAGAAATGTAATTTTAAAGACTAAGGTACACCTGATCCAAGCCATATTATTTTCAGTTGCTTCCTATGGATCTGAAAGTTGGACAATGAATAAGGAAAACAGAAGAATTGATGCCTTTGAATTGTGTTGTTGGACAAGAATACTAAATACTCATGGACTGCCAAAAGAACACACAAATCTATCTTGGAGGAAGTATAACCAGACTGTGCCTTAGAGGCCAGGATCATAAAACTTCATTTCACGTACTTTGGGCATGTTGTCATGAGGAGCTAGTCCTTGGAAAAAGGCATCATGCTCGAAAATTTGGAGGGTCAGAGAAAAAGAGGAAGAACCTCAGTAAGACTAAGTAATTGTTACAATGGACTCTAACAGTGAGCATATTGGAGATCTTGAGGATGGTGCAGGATTGGTTAAATTTCAGGTCTGTTCACAGGGTCACTATGAAACATAGTTAACATGATAGCAACCAACAGCAACAACAAACAAATCAGATATGCAAATATTTCCCTCATTCTGTTGAATGTCTTTTTACTTTTTTCAGAAACATTTTTAATACACAAAATTATGAAAACAAATAAAAAAAACAACCAAAAAAGAATACAGAAAAGGAGCTAAGAAAAAGAATACCAACTATAATAGCTAATCACAAGATGGAATACTTAGGGACAAATCTAAATAGAGACACAAAAGATCTAAACAAAGAAAACAACAAAACATTACTGCAAGAAACAAAAAGAAACCTAGGGAAATGGAAGAAAATACCATGTTCATTGATAGGATGATTCAATAAAATGAAAATGACAATTTTACCAAAAGCAATCTACAAATTCAATGCAATACCAATCCCACTCTTCAAAAAGATGGAAAAGGTAATTTCCAATTTTTTCCAGGAATGGAAAGAGACCCTGCATAAGCAAGGCACTACTGAAAAAGAAAAATAAGGAGGCATTACACTCCCTGATCTCAAATCCAACTACACAGCTGTAGTAATCAAGACAGCATGGTACTGGTATAGTGACAGACACACAGATAAGTGGAAGAGAATTGAGAACTCAGAAATCACTCATCTACCTATATATGATCAACTGATATTTGACAAGGAGACAAAATCAGTTAAGTGGGGTTGGTAATATTGTAAAACAATCTGAAGAAAAACCCACACAACACACCATACACAAAGACGAAAACAGGACAGATGAGGGACCTAGTAGTAAAACTAAGACTATAAAATTGAAAAGAGATCAACTAGGAACAACTCTAGAAGCTTTAACCTATAAGTACGAACAGAATTCCAAGCACAATGAAAAGCCTACAATCAGGAGAGGATAAAATATATGAATGAGACCTTCTAAAAACCAAATAACTATGAACATTTTAAATATTTCTCTAATAGGGTAGAGAAGAAACCCACAGGCTGAGAAAAACATTTGGCAATGACATGTCTGAGAAGGGACCCATATCTAGAATTTATAGAGTATTCCAGCACCTCAGCAACAAAAAGGCAAACAGCCCAATCAAAAAATAGGCACAAGGTATTTTGCAAGACTTAGCAAAGAAGACATTCAGAGGCCAACAAACACAACACATGAAGAAATGTTCGAAACCTCTAGCTATCAGAGAGGTGCAAATAAAAACAATGAGATAATATCTAAGTCCAGCAACAATATTGAAGTTCAACAGGGCAGCAAACAACAAACGCTAAGGAGGATGTGGAGAGATTGGGACTCTTATTCACTGCAGGTAGAAATGTAAAGTACATTTAAGTTACAACTACTATCAAAAGCAGTGTTAGGTTTTTTAAAAAAATGGAAATAAAAATACCACTTGACCCAGCTATCCTACTACTGGAAATAAAGAAATCAGAGCTGTAATGTAAACAGATGTATTCATACCCATGCTTATTGTTGCATTATTCATAAATAAAGAGATGGAAAGATGGAAAGCAAAGAGACGGAAGCAGCCCAAGTGCCAAACAACAAACAAATGGATAGAAAAACGAGTATAGTCACACAATGAAATATTACACAGCATTGCAAACAATGAACTTGTAAAACTCTACCCAACATGGATGAGTTGTGAAGACATTATGCTGAGTGAAATATATCAGTCACAAAAGGACAAGTACTACATAAGACTGCTGTTATATAAAATAAATTGGGGTGAGGGGAAGAACAGGAAAAGGGTGGGTAGATAAAGAACATTGAGATAGAACAAATGAAGAAAAGAACTCTCTGAAAGAGATGTACAATTAGGCATTATATGTATGACAATAATCTGAAAGAAGAATTGCATTGAGGAGCTAATCAAGGAAGGGGATGGGAAAGGGACAGAAAAATACGCATCAACGAATTAATGAAAATCTAACCTTTCTGTAAACTTTCATTAAAATCACAATAAAAAATAAAATCAGAGGAGGAAAATGAAAAGCTTCAAATGACGTTTCTGTGACTTTTTATAAGAAAGCAAGAGAGCAGGGTGGTCATATCTCCCTGAATGCATCAGATCTTGTCTGATCTCAGAAGAAATAGACAGATCTAGGGAGGATAAACCAGCCAGAGACTGACCTGAAAGGGCAGGAAAGAGCTTCAAGATGCCGAAAAGTATAATGAATAAATTTATCTATTTACTTGTATTTATATTCCTTTATTTCCATGCGGGTAGTAGTGATGTCCACGCCATTATTTCTGACTCTGAAAAGAGGACCAGAGGCCTACCCTACAGGTGGAAGGAAGAGTAGGGAACCCACACCACAACCGCTAAGAAAAGCGAACTGCCCATTGATAGCCCTGCTATTCACCAGCCCACAGAGCATGAGTGGGGTTTTGGCTCCAAAAAAAATCCTCATCTTTGGATCCCCAGCTATTTTTTTTTTTCATTTATTTTAAAGTAGGCAGCATAACAGATGGGTTTTCAAGCAGTTGGATGCCCAACTCAATCTGTGTGTTCATTACACAGGCACATTCAATGAATGCATGTTTATGATGTGGGTACTTTCCTGTATATATTTTGTGCACCAATAAGAGATTTTAAGAGCTATGCTCTTCCTTCCCTTCACTATTTATTAAAGGCCTAGGAGATCAACCATAACCAATTTGCAAAGTGGGAGACTCTTAAACTTACTCTTTTTAATCTTTCATTTTCCACGAGCAAAAACTCTGTCTTTTGGTCATTTACATAGATTTCATTTTCTAAATTCTTCAGAATTTCAAAGTGCTCTTGGGTTTTAAAGCTTTCTTGCTTACGAAAATAGTTTCGGTCTTCCTTTGTTTTATCCTGGTCAAATAAAATAAAACAGTAATATTTCATAGAGTTCAACCAATAGGGCGCAGACCTACTCATCTGGATTGCATGGACCACATTCAGAGAGATTTTCTAAGGGATCCTGAAAGCATCTGCCAGAAACTACGGGTATCTTTCCCCAGTACAATCTTTATATTAAAGCCCAAATCCTCCAAAATGAAAGCCATTAATGAATACAAAATTCAGGACCTTAGACCTTGAGGCAACTTCACAAAATTTAATAAGAATTCATAGATAAACAATTATCTGGCCAAAACAGGAAGGAAGAGGATAATTTATTGAGACTTCTAAAGGGAAGATTTAATATTTCTAGAAAGAAGAATATTACTTTTTTCTTTAAAATTTTAAAAAATAATTTTATACTGGTTTACATATACCCTCAACCCATCAAATCGTGTGACCCTATGTTTAAACTCCCCCTCCACTCCTAGGATCCTTGTACATGCTCTATGGTAATGGTTCTATGCAGTATTTGTCTTTATAAGACAGAGTAGCATAATATAGAAGGGGTCGTGGTACTAGGGATATTGTTGCTGATGTTAGATGGATCTTGGCTGAAAGCAGAGAATACCAGAAGAATGTCTATCTGTGTTTCATTGATTATGCAAAGGCATTTGACTGTGTGGATCATAACAAACTGTGGCTGACTCTGAGAAGAATGGGAATCCCAGAACATTTAATTGTGCTAATACGAAACCTATACTTGGACCAAAAGGCAGTAGTCAGAACAGAGCAGGGTAACACTGCATGGTTCAAAATTGGGAAGGGTGTATGCCAGTGATGCATCCTGTCTCCATACCTTTTCATCATGTATGCAGAGCAGATTATCCGAGAGGCTGGGCTCTATGAGGAGAATTGTGGCATCAGGATTGGTGGAAGGTCTATTAACAATCTGCGTTATGCAGATGACACAACCCTGCTTGCTGAAACTGAGGAGGACCTCATGCACTTGCTGCGAAGGGTCAAGGACTGCCGCCTTCAGTATGGACTGAGGCTCAATGTCAAGAAGACAAAGATTCTCACCACTGGACCAATTGGCAGCGTCAGGATGGATGACGAAGAGATTGAGAGTGTTCACAGCTTCAGTTTGCTCGGCTCCACAGTCAACACTCTTGGCACCAGCAGTCAGGAAATCAAAAAGCGTATCACGATGGGAAAGTCTGCTGTTAGGGACCTCTCTAAAGTACTCAGGAGCAACAGTGTCTCTCTGGAGACTAAGGTGCGCCTGATACAGGCCATGGTCTTTGCAATCGCTTGTTATGCATCAGAGAGTTGGACAATGACTAGGGAGGACAGAAGGAGAGTGGATGCTTTTGGGCTGTGGTGCTGGAGAAGGGTACTGAATGTACCTTGGACTGCCAGGAAAACAAACAGATTTATCTCGGAGAGGATTAATCCAAGCTACTCCTTGGAGGCAAGGATTCTGGGGCTTCATGTGACATACTTTGAACATGTTGCCAGGAGGGACGGGTCCTTGGAGAGGGACATCATGCTTGGGAGGGTTGAAGGACAACGCAGGAGGGGAAGACCCTCTATGAGATGGATTGATTCGGTGACTGGGGTAATCGGGATGGGTGTGTCAGAGGCGGTGCGTTTGGCGCAGGACAGAGCAGGGTTTAGGGCTGTTGTGCATAGGGTCGCTATGAGTCGGAAACTACTCAACGGCACATAACAACAACAACAGCATAATATAAGACATTTAGCATAATGATCTCCAGTCCCTCTTATGTTAGATAGTAATTTATAAAATCATTACTCCTGTGTGCTGTGTAATATTCCATTGCGTGAATATACCATAATCTCTCAATCCATGTTCTTGTTGTAGTGAATAATGTTATTATGAACATTGGTGTACAAGTCTCTGTCTTTGCTTCATTTTCTCAAGGTATATTCCAAGAAGTGGAATAGCTGGATCATATGGAATTTCTATGTCCAGTTTTTTGAGGAAACACCAAACTGTCTTACAAAGTGATTGTTCCATTTTACAATCCTGCCAACAATGTATCTCACCACATCCTCTCCAATATTTATTACTTGATGCCCTACTAAAATTTGCCACTGTTATGGGGTAAGATGGTATCTCATTGTGGTTTTGACGTGCATCTCTTTTACTGCCAGTGATTTGGAGCATTTCTTCATGTGTCTGTTGGATATCGAATGTCCTCCTCTGTGAAAAGTCTTTCCATGTCTTTTGCCCATTTTGTAATTGGATTATCAGTCTTGTTCTTTTGTAGGATTCTGTAAACTTTGGTTATGAGACCATTGTCTGAGATGGTATTGCCAAATGTTTGTTCCCAGTCAGTAGATTTTCCTTTTCATCCTGTTGGAAAGAGTTTTTTATGAGCTCAGAGATTTACTCTTTAGAAAATTCCATTTATCAATTTTATCCTCTTCAGATGGCATATTTCTGGATGTATCTGGCAATTCATTTGTACTATAGACTACACCTTCAAAGCATGGTCCCAGTTTGTCCTTTATGAGCTTTATGATTTGGGGCTTTATTCTGAGGTTTCTGGTGCATCCTGAGTTGATTTTTGTGTATAAGATGTGGATCCTGTCTCAGCTTTCTGCAGGTGGAAGTCCAGTTTTGCCAGCACCATTTGTTGAAGAGGTTACCATTTCCCCATTTGATAGGTTTTATTTCCTTGTCGAATATCAATTGACCAAAGATAGATGGGTCCATTTCAGGATTCTCAATTCTTTTCTTTTTCCAAGAGTTTTTTAAATTTCTTTTTCATTTCAATGAACATCTACAGAGATTTTGGAATTCCATTCATTCATTGTTGCACCCTTCTCCCCACCCCGTTTGCTCCTCTCCTTGAAAAGCAAGAGAAAAACTCCCTCATTGGTACACAATCCCCCAGGATTCTCAATTCTGTTCCATTGGTATATGTGCTTATCATTGTACCAGTACCATGCCATTTTAGTTACTGCTGCTGTGTAGTAGAATTTGAGGTAAGGGAGTGCTATGTCTCCCACTTCATTTTTGTTTTTCAGAAGTACTTTACTTATTCAGGAGTCTCTTTTCTCTTCAATTAAACTTGACAATTTTGCTTTTGCTCTCCTTGAAAAATTAATTTGGTTTCTGTATTAAGATTGTGTTGAACATATTGATTGCTTTTGGTAGGAATGGCATTTTCACAATATTGTCTTCCTATCCATGAACAGGGTACATTTTCTCATTTCTTTAGGTCTTTTATTGCATCTTGTAGAAATGTTGTGTAGTTTTCTTCATATAGGTCTTTCATGTCTTTAGTTAGGTACATTCCCAAGTATCTCAGTTTATGGTTGGCTATTGTAAACGGTATTGCTTTCTTGACTTCCTCTCTTAGTTCTCTTTGTTACTCTAGAGGAATCCCACTGATTTTTCAATATTGATCTTACATCCTGCCACTCTGCTAACCTGATCTACTAGGTCTAACAGGTGGTTTGGGGGTTTTTGTTGTTGTTGTTGATGAGTCCTTGGGTTTTCTGTGTAAACTATCATATCATCTGCATAGAGTAACAATTTAATTATCTCTTTGCTAAGCAGGATGCCTTTTATTTCCTTCTCTTATCGTATTGCCCTAGCAAGAACTTCCAATACAATATTGAATAGCAATGGCAACAGTAGACATGTTTTTAGTCTTTCTCCATTGAGAATGATATTGGCTCTAGGTTTTGTGTATATATTTTTGACTATTGAGGAAATTCCCTTCTATTCCAATTTTGCTGAGAGTCTTAATCAGGAAGGGGTTTTGGATTTTGTCAAATGCCTTATCTTCATCAATTGCTAGGATCATATGGTTCTTATTTTGTTAATGTGGTGAATTACATTGATTCTCTTATGTTGAACCATCTTTGCATACCTTTTATGAATCCTACTTGGTCATGATGAATTGTTTTTTGATGGGATTTTGGATTCTATTGGCTAGGATTTTGTTAAATAATTTTTCATCTATGTTCACCAGAGATATTGGTCTGAAGTTTTCTTTTTTGTTAATACCTTTGCCTGGTTTTGGTATTAGGGTCATGCTTGCTTTATAGAATGTCTCTGGGAGTGTTCCTCCTTTTCCTGAATGTTTGGTAGAATTCAGCTGTGAAGTCATTTGATCCAGGACCTTTTTTGTGGGAGAGTCTTTTTATGACCTTTTCAGTTTCTTCTTTGTGATGGGTCTGTTCAAGTGTTCTATATCTGACCATCTCAATTTGAGTAGGGCATGAGTTTCAAGGAATTTGTCCATTTTCTCTAAGTTTTCAATTTTATCCAAATACAGCTTTTAGTACTATTTTAATATTACAGATTTAATTTCCTCTGGTTTTGTTATGATATCACCTCTGCCATTCCTCAATCAAGTTATTTGTGTCTTCTCCTTTTTTTTCTTTTGCTTAGTTTGCCAATTTTATTGATCCTTTCAAAAAACCAGCTCCTGGTCTTATTGATGGTTTCAATTGCTGTACTGTTTTATATCTTACGGATTTCAGCTCTTATCCTTGTAATTTCCTTTCTTCTAGAGGCTGTTGGGCTGTTTTCTATTTGATGAAGATGTTGAGTTAGCTCATTTATTTTGCTGCTTTCTTCATTTTTTATGTGTTTGCCTATTGCTATGAACTGGCCCCTGAGGATTGCCTTAGCTGCATGCCAGAGATTTTGGTATGTTTGTGTTTTTATTATAATTTGCTTCAAGGAACATTTTTATTTCATTCTTTATTTCTTCTGTAACCCAATTTGAGCAGGGTGTTATTTAGCTTCCATACTGACAGCTTTTTAAGCTTTATCCCTTGTGGTTAATTTCTAGGTTTATGGCATTGTGGTGTGAGAAGATACTTTATTTTTTTCTATTTTTTTATTTAATTTGTTGAGGCTTGCTTTGTGCCCTAATATGTGATAAATTCTGGAGAATGTACCATATGCATTTGAGAAAAAAATGAATTGTGTTTTAGTTGGGTGCAGTGCTTGGAATACACCCACAAGCTTGAGTTGACTGTCTGTG